CTTCGTCGCTCACCGAGAGCCCCTGCCTTTGCACGTTACATCAAAGCGGGACAGGGAGCTTCCTCGCTCACCGAGAGCCCCTGCCTTTGCACGTTACATCAAAGCGGGACAGGGAGCTTCGTCGCTCTCCGAGAGCCCCTGCCTTTGCACGTTACATCAAAGCGGGACAGGGAGCTTCATCGCTCACCGAGAGCCCCTGCCTTTGCACGTTACATCAAAGCGGGACAGGGAGCTTCATCGCTCACCGAGAGCCCCTGCCTTTTGCACGTTACATCAAAGCGGGACAGGCAGCTTCATCGCTCACCGAGAGCTTCAGTTTTTAAAGAGTCTTCATTTTCACATGTTCTGTTTGCATTTGAAAAAAATGTTATGAAACTTATGAAATCGGTATAAAACTTATGAAATCGACAATCCGTCTGCCAGTTTACCGGTCCATGAAATTTTTGTCCGATGTTTATCCGGACATCAAAAGTACTTATCCTAGTATGCTTGATGGATAGTTTCATAAAGGCCTGTACAGGTCCCTGTCATGGTGGGGATGGAACCGCATTCCTTGTAGTCCCTGAAGATCTTGCTAACTGTGGAGCTTTACACATACCTCATTACTCGTACGTGGCAAATTGCATGTAACAGTTCGTCTGGCGTCGCATTCAGGACAGCCCAGCACCGCAGGTCTCCATTTGCGTCACAAGCAGCAGCAACACGCAAGACTGCAGGACACTCGTACATGGGACACTGCGTGAGGCAAAACCAGTGGCTCATTGCCGAAGCAGATTAAGTGATTTCCAGCTTCTCATCTCCGTCGTCTTGTTAAGGGGGCGATGTTGGTGTTGCGTCTGCAGTCGCTGCCAGTAATGGCTGGTCTGTGCCTGAGTCACAGTCTCATCGGAGGGGACAGCAGGGCATTGCCCTTCTGGCTGCTGCTGAGACTAGGCCTCATGGCCCAGGGTTTTGGGTGGGCCTGGGGAGGGACTTGATGAATCACCCCTCTGAGCCGGGCTCATTTGTACCATCCTAATGCATCCATCTTGAAAAATGAGACTTTCACACCTTTCGTGTCCAAATGAGGTGAGACAAGTCAGACCAAGGCTGATCTAAGCCCAACTTGCCTGCTGCACCGTGTCTTTAATTATTACTAAATGGTTCCCAAGGAGGATTTGTTCGGGAGATCTTGCACCTTCAGATGTGCTGACGGCCCAAAACTGAGAGTGTTGCAGCATCAAATAGACGTTCTAAGCTATTCTCTGGGGTCTTTGTGCAATTAGCTTCCAGCCTCTTGTCTTTCTGCAGCCAGTTCTACAGTTTAACACTTGCCTGTCTGTCAGAAAAGGACTCTTTGGAGTGTATTTAGCCATCATATTTTTTAACCCAAGTGTCCAAATCAGGATAAAACATACAAAATGCTGCAAAAGTTAAGAACATAAGAACATAAGAACATAAGTTATATACTATAAACTGGTCTTTCACATACCCATTTTTAAAATGGTATTCAAGTAAAGATTTAAGAAGAACCCCAGAATCTGATCCCTCATTAGATAGATGCTAGCAGTAGATGTGGAATCTTTTGTTACCACACTGGTTCCTTGTTTGCCTCAGCAGATGTTGTGTTAACTCTGTGTTTGTATAACCACACGGCATTATCTGCTCAATCCCTGATCGCTGATATGCCGCGTCCTGTCGACTTTCTCCCTGAGCCACAGTGTTCTGTGGTTGTCGTTTTAAACATGCATGGAAGATCTCATTCCACAAAATCATATAATATACTTTGTGCGAATGGACTTATAAAAAATTAATTAGCAGGTAATGCTACACAGCAGAGTGCAGAAATAAGAGCGGCAAAGCAGGGGCGGGGGCGGCTGG